GATATATTACAAAATGAGCGTATCAATTGCCAGAAAGAACTGATAATTGTTCGAACATCAACAGGTGAGATAAATGAAACATTTCCACTATAGATTGCATTAATATATTTCTGAGAAATAAATTCACTTGAACAAACTTCATGAAATGTAACTTCAGAAGAAGCAATTTCACCATATTGCATAGCTACTCGTGAGCACGGGCATTGTAATGTGTCAGAATATAATGTATAAAGTTGTTTAAATTCATTCTCGAGAGGTTGAGAAACAGTTACATTGATAGTGCGTGATGAAAATATACCATAAATAATGAGAATAATCATAAATAAAGAAACGAGACTAATATATAAACGTGTGAATAATCGTTGGTAAAAAATTGTTTCCGCACTATTTTCTTCAGTTTCAAATAGATTTAAAGTTTTTAATCCGTTAAGAACCTTTGTTTTCCAGTTTAAACTGGTCGATCCTTTTGGTGGTGTTTCGACACTCATTGAATAAACTTTACATGTAAACAAGGAAGAATACACAAGAGAAATGCTTCATTAAGAATATTTGTTCTTGTTCATTTCTTTACTGGAAAGAAATCGACAACCGGAAAGTCATAGTGCAGAAGCTTTCGTATAATGAAACTAGGTTGCTTCAGATATCCATGACTTCACTCAAATAATACTCAACAGTCAGATTTGTTTTTTTTCTTTTCGAACATTTTTTTATTTCGAACATCGTTTCACGCCGTTTCGACGCTTAAAATAATAATATAGCAAGCGTATTAATAATTCCAAATGTTAAAAGTAATCCAGCCATAGACTCTATTGAGAACACAGTAGATGTCTCCACTGTATTCGAACTTGCTTTTAACAAACTGTTTAAATAATTATTTTATATATGAATGTGCATGGCATGTGTTATATTTAAAATCTAATTGAGACTTCGATATTATATCATGTTCTTGCGCTAAATAAAACTATACTTATGAATTGATAAAATTTTGTGGATGGAATGCATGTGTAAGTACTTATAACTATATCAAGTACATCAAGGAATGAAATATTTTTCACTCTCAAAATCAAATGAATCGACTTTATTGCGTTTCTTTTTATGGGATTAAAAGGATCACATTGAAACACTATTTTTAAATGAAAGAAAAATCGCATTCACATAGACTTTCTCAGTAAAGCAAGTTAAAAAAAAATGTGGTCGAACACGATTTTTGTCTTTGTGGCATGTCTCTATCAATCGATCATTGCTCATTGTAAGATCGTTACTCCTGATGATGCCAATGCTCTTCAATCGCTTATTCTCTCTGCTTATAATACGGATAAACTTGATTCAATTACTTTGACGCCAGGTATTTATCGTATACCATTCAATGATCAACCAAATTCCAATATCATTCTTTCTTATCTACGGAATTTCGTTATCAATGCTCAAGATGTTACTCTCTTAATGCTAGACAATCGAAAACGAGGTATCACCTTTTACAATTGTTACAATGTCACTGTACGTGGATCGTTGATTATCCGAAATGATATCATTCCATTTACACAAGGTACAATCGAATCAATCCAAGGAAATTCATTTATTCTTAATATTCATGATGGTTATCCAACTACTTTGGATGATTCAACATATTTTCCACTTGAAACACCTTATTATATATTTGATCGGTATACGCATCGATTGAAAGATAAAACTTTTGATTATTATAATCGAAATGTTACTCGAATAGATAGTCGTCGATTTCAAGTTATATTTTACGTTACTCTGGGTTCAGAAATAGCAGTTGGTGACTTAGTTTCTATGCGTGGCAAAGGTAATATGGGCATATCGACTGAAGCTTCTGAAAAAATGCATTATGTTAACGTTATTGTTGAATATGCTGGATCTATTGCATGGTTTGAAATGGAAGGTATGGGTAATAATCGATATGAAAGAATTAGTGTTCGACCTGGACCTAAACCCTTAGGTGCAACCGAAGAGCCATTGATGAGTGCTAATGCTGATGGATTTCATTCTTCTAATGTTTTTCATGGACCAACTGTGATTAATTCATTCTTTACTCGAATGCCTGATGATGGTATTGCCATACATGGAGAATATCAAATAATTCGACAAGTTAATCAAAATATAATAGTTATTATGAGAAAATATTCGCGGTTGCACTATCGAATCAATGATCGCGTTGTTGTTATGGGTGAAGATGGCGTACCAAAAGGTGAAACTCGTGTTCTACGTATACGAACATTACCGATGGATTATTTACCTTTGATAACACCACCGTGGCTACATTTTCAAAATCATCATTATTACTATGAACTTGAATTAGAAACAAATTTGAATGGAACTATTGTTTCAAATGATTTCATTTCAGATATTGATCGAACAGGTTCGGGTTATGTTTTACAAGGAAATACAATTGTTAATCATCGAGCACGTGGAATACTAGTTAAGGCTCGTGATGGGCTTATTGAATCAAATTTAATTAATGGCAGTTCGATGGCTGCTATTGTCATGCAACCAGAGCTGTGGTGGGCTGAAGGAAATTATGCTGAACAGGTAATTATTAGAAATAATACATTAATGAAATGTGGTTATGCAACAAGTAAACCATCAACTGAACAAGCAGGTGTTTTAACAATCTTTGGAACAGGAAAATCGCAAGTAGCTTATGGACATGATACAATAACGATTGAAAATAATTTGTTTGTGGAAAATGATGGTGTACACATGATACTGGATGGGTTACAGAATAGTGTGGTAAAAGGAAATCGCTTTTACAATGGACAACATAATGTGAATGATCGTGGTAGTAATCATGGTTGGGACGGTGGAGTATTAGTTTATGTTAATCGAGCAAAGGCAATAACATTACAAGGAAATCGAGCATGGTGTTTGGGTAGTGCTCATAAAAGACGTTTACAAATGACGTATCTAGCTACGCACATTACTGGTAGTCTGGATGGAGTGATTGTCGACAGTCATTGTTAATGATGAGCTTTAAATAAATGTCATATTTATCGTATCGACGATAAGTTTCCTCGACTGTAGAGAGGGTCATATGAAATAAAATAGTTTGCCTGTGTGTGTCAGGGTCAAAGGCAAAAAAAAAAATTTTTTCCTACAATCATTCAACACATTGAAAACTTCTAGTGTGCTGACCGTAGAACGAGTGCGGATGAAGGGTGAAGGGAGAGGGTAAAAATATGGGCGCTTGGAAGACCGCGAGTTAGGGTCGTAGATTGTCCCTTTTGAAGTGGGTGTGTGGACGTGGATGATCGGAATCGGTGATCGGCGGCTGTGTTTTCTGAGTTCAGGAATTGATGTAGGTTAGGTGTTCAGTTGTTGTCGATTTGTTTATAATGAAATATGAAGGTGATGTAGGGTTGGGATGGCTGGGACTAGTGTCAGAAGGTAGTTAAAATCGCTAGTATATTCCAACTTTTATGCAACTGCAACTTATCTTAGGAGTAATAAAAGAGCGATAAGCAAGCGTAGGTATCACCGTAGCTAAATGCACTAAAGGCGAAAATAGAAATGTCAAAAGATACATTCGCTAGAATCAGACGTGTTAAATGTAATCCTAATCCATTGAGTTAAACCCATTAATTGTATGGGAGTTTGACAACGAGAAAGAAATAAAACTTCTGCGAGTAAGTGATGATTATTGTTGGTGTTCGTAGTAAATTCGGATTAATGGTAAAAATATTCTTTTGTAGTTGAGTGTTTGTTCCAGTTGGACTCATAAATGGGAGTTATAGATGCTTTTTCGCGGATTTGCCGATTTTTAGGGTGAGGATGCGTGGAAAGTGACATTGACTTAGAGCCGGCTAAGATTAATGTTTGACGATCTATGTTTTTGACTCTTGTGTATGCTTGGTGGCGCATTTGATATGTTGTGCATGGTTGTGATGTTGTTCGATTGAAGTGGCCCTAGTGCTTATTGTATTGCATCATCGTTTGTTTCTTCTTATTGCATATTGCATTGATAGTATAAAATTGAAGTTTTTTATGCCTCTCCAAAAACAGTAGGAAAAATTCAGTATTTTGTATTCGAAAGTTACTAAATATATCTGCGCAAAACATTTGAATTGTTTCTTCGTGTATAAAATTGTTAGATCAGTTTGTGTCACAATTGGGACAGGAAAAAAAGATACCTGTCCTCCACAGTCGATGGTTAAGTGAGTCGGCACGGCGAGCGCTACTTGTTNTAGTATAAAATTGAAGTTTTTTATGCCTCTCCAAAACGAGTAGGAAAAATTCAGTATTTTGTATTCGAAAGTTACTAAATATATCTGCGCAAAACATTTGAATTGTTTCTTCGTGTATAAAATTGTTAGATCAGTTTGTGTCACAATTGGGACAGGAAAAAAAGATACCTGTCCTCCACAGTCGATGGTTAAGTGAGTCGGCACGGCGAGCGCTACTTGTTCACTAGTAGTCGAAAAATTCTCTGTCCATACGCGTTTGTATGAGGTCGTATTGTATACAATAAAAAAGAATCTATGATGAAGAGAGTTTATATGCACAATACACTTATGCTGAATGTAAGTTTCCTACATTACGAACGAAATTCAAGTCGCTTAATTCAAAAGATTCCTTTTAGGTTCATCATTTCACTTCAGTGTGTTTACGACGATGTTGAAGTCAATGGAAGTCATCAAAGTATCTGCTGTAAGAATGAAAAAATTGAGTCTATTAATCCAGCATTGTTTTGTTTCATTTAGACATAATAGTCATTCTGAATGTTCTATTGCAACAGCGACGTTCATTTTGCTTATTCAATCAAAACGACTAACGGTCAGCCAATATGATTGAAATAGACGTTACAATTCGACAATATTGACCCTTGCCGAAAGGTAGAGTGCACTTTTGTGAATAAAAAAATGCATTTTATTTTAATGCTCAATACTTATTTAACGAAAAATATGGATGAAACTAACGTATGGATCGATTAGTAATATTTCATAGGTTATCATGCTGTAAGAAAAGTGCATTCAGCGGCGCGCAGAAGAAAACAGATATTCACCTATTATCTCACATTATTCTGAAGCACAGGAGTTGACGTTTCTTTTCATTTATAAAAAATTTCTTCAGATTGCTTCTGCTATGAGGAAAGATGTTTCAAAGTGATATTTCAAGATTATCAAACTTTTATACAAATATAATATGAATGATCGTGAAAGCGATCACGGCTGAAATGGTGGAGTATCAGCCTATATCAATCAAACATGCTGCTTAGGTAGTGCTCATAAAAGACATTTACAAATGATGTATCTATCTGCGCACGCTATTGACAACATGGATGAAGTCGCAGTTAATGATAGATACTTCTCATTCTTCTTCACTTATACGATAAGTTGGTTTCGAAATAAGATTTATAACCATTGTATTAACGTGTTCATTATTGATAAGAGAATGCTTTCTCTTTCTTTCTCTTTGCATACTCACATCTGATTATAAAAAAGGATCAGCAGAGCGATAAAATGACTTTATAACGACAGCCTGTTCTATGTAAATTAACATATGGACAATCTTTTTTATTGTTAGTATGAGTTTCTTATCAGCTACATGTGTTTGACGTAAGAAGGAAAAATCAGTGCTTCTCAAACAGAGAGATCTTGTTTTGTTTCATACAGTCGCAACAGTGATTCTGTTGGAGTCGTTGCAGGAAGTAATAGAAATCCTACATGTTCAAAGTTATTTATATCACATACTCTTCCACCTCATATTAATGTGATTGTATCAATAGATCAATAAATCAAATTATTTTGGTGGTCGTTCCTGACGTGGACTCGAAATTACGAAATAAAAATGTTTAGGTTTACTTTGCAAGTTGAAAAAGCAACAAACAGAAAACTTAACACATCGGATTCTTCTTGGGTTCACCCAATCCAAAACATTTTCGAATTCGTTTATAGCTTTCAACGCGTTTCTTTTGCTTAGCAGCTCCTGATCCACCACTACATTCTAGTTTTCCATTGATAATTCGAGTAGTCGCTGCAAAATCACCTTGTTTAGCAGGGACATCCATTTTGTTTGTCTTGTAAAACCAAATGGCTGTTTTGACAGCGAGATCCTGCTGTTTTTCAATTAGATCTGGATCACTCAACAAGTCGACACCAAGAGATCTACCAGCAGCATGGTAGTTACAAGGCCATGACAATTGAAACCAACCTCGACCATAATACAATTTATTGGGTTTGCCCTTAATTGAGCACCACGATCATTCACATTATGTTGTCCATTGTAAAAGNATTTCTGAGAAATAAATTCACTTGAACAAACCGCATGAAATGTAACTTCAGAAAAAGCAATTTCACCATATTGCATAGCTACTCGTGAGCACGGGCATTGTAATGTGTCAGGATATAATGTATAAAGTTGCTTAAATTCATTCTCGAGAGGTTGAGAAACAGTTACATTGATAGTGCGTGATGAAAATATACCATAAATAATGAGAATAATCATAAATAAAGAAACAAGACTAATATATAAACGTGTGGATAATCGTTGGTAATAAATTGTTTCCGCACTATTTTCTTCAGTTTCAAATAGATTTAAAGTTTTTAATCCGTTCAGAATCTTTGTTTTCCAGTTTAAACTGGTCGATACTTTTGGTGATGCTTCGACACTCATTGAATAAACTTTACATGCGAACAAGGAAGAATACACAAGAGAAGTTCTTCATTAAGAATATTTGTTCTTGTTCATTTTTTTTTCTGGAAAGGAATCGACAACCGGAAAGTCATAGTGCAGAAGCTTTCGTATAATGAAAGTAGGTTGCGTCAGATATCCATGACTTCACTCAAATAATACTCAACAGTCAGATTTGTTTTTTCTTCTTTTCGAACATCGTTTCACGTGTCTTTGTTGACACATAATCTTTTATCGTTTCAACGATGAAAATAATAATATAGCAAGTGTATTAATAATTGCAAATGTTAACTCTATTGAAAACACAGTAGATGTCTCCACTGTATTCGACCTTGTTTTTAACAAACTGTTTAAATAATTATTTATGTATGAATGTATATGGCATGTGTTATATTTAGAATCTGATTGAAACTTCAATATTATATCATAATCTGGCGGTAAATAAAACTACAGTTATGAATTGATAAAATTTTGTGGATGGAATACATGTGTATTTATAACTATAGCAAGAACATCAAAGAATGAAATATTTTTCACTCTCAAAATCGAATGAATCGACTTTATTGTGCTTTTTTTATAGGAATAAAAGGATTATATTGAAAAACTATTTTTAAATGGAAGAAAAATCGCATTTAAATAGATTTTCTCTGTAAAAGAAGTTAAAAAATAATGTGGTCGAAGTCGATTTTTGTCTTTGTGGCGTGTCTCTATCAATCAATCATTGCTCATTGTAAGATCATCACTCCTGATGATGCCAATGCTCTTCAATCGCTTATTCTCTCTGCTTATAATACGGATAAACTTGATTCAATTACTTTGACGCCAGGTATTTATCGTATACCATTCAATGATCAACCAAATTCCAATATCATTCTTTCTTATCTACGGAATTATGTTATCAATGCTCAAGATGTTACTCTTTTGATGCTAGACAATCGAAAACGAGGTATCACCTTTTACAATTGTTACAATGTCACTGTACGTGGATCGTTGATTATTCGAAATGATGTCATTCCATTTACACAAGGTACAATCGAATCAATCCACGCAAATTCATTTATTCTTAATATTCATGATGGTTATCCAACTACATTGGATGATTCAACATATTTTTCAATTGAAACACCGTATTATATATTTGATCGGCATACACATAGATTGAAAGATAAAACTTTTGATTATTATAATCGAAATGTTACTCGAATAGATAGTCATCGATTTCAAGTTACATTTTACATTACTCTGGGTGCAGAAATAGCAGTTGGTGACTTAGTTTCTATGCGTGGCAAAGGTAATATGGGCATATTGACTGAAGTTTCTGAAAAAATGCATTATGTTGACGTTATTGTTGAATATGCTGGATCTATTGCATGGTTTGAAATGGAAGGTATGGGTAATAATCGATATGAAAGAATAAGTGTTCGACCTGGACCTAAACCCCTAGGTGCAACTGAAGAACCATTGATGAGTGCTAATGCTGATGGATTCCATTCTTCTAATGTTTTTCATGGACCAACTGTGATTAATTCATTTTTTACTCAAATGCCTGATGATGGTATTGCCATACATGGAGAATATCAAATAATTCGACAAGTTAATGAAAATATTATAATTATAATGAGAAAATATTCTTGGTTGTACTATCGAATCAATGATCGCGTTGTTATTATGGGCGAAGATGGCGTACCAAAAGGTGAAACTCGTGTTCTACGTATACGAACATTACCGATGGATTATTTACCTTTGATAACACCAACATGGCCACATTTTCAAAATCATCATTATTACTATGAACTTGAATTAGAAACAAATTTGAATGGAACTATTGTTTCAAATGACTTCATTTCAGATATTGATCGAACAGGTTCAGGTTATGTTTTACAAGGAAATACAATTCTTAATCATCGAGCACGTGGAATACTAGTTAAGGCTCGTGATGGACTTATTGAATCAAATCTAATTAATGGTAGTTCAATGGCTGCTATTGTCATGCAACCAGAGCTGTGGTGGGCTGAAGGAAACTATGCTGAACATGTAATTATTAGAAATAATACATTAATGAAATGTGGTTATGCAACAAGTGATCTATCAACTGAACAAGCGGGTGTTTTAACAATTTTCGGAACAGGAAAATCACAAGTAGCTTATGGACATGATACAATAACGATTGAAAATAATTTGTTTGTAGAAAATGATGGTGTACACATGATACTGGATGGGTTACAGAATAGTGTGGTAAAAGGAAATCGCTTTTACAATGGACAACATAATGTGAATGATCGTGGTAGTAATTATGGTTGGGATGGTGGAGTATTAGTTTATGTTAATCGAGCAAAGGCAATAACATTACAAGGAAATCGAGCATGGTGTTTGGGTAGTGCTCATAAAAGACGTTTACAAATGACGTATCTAGCTACGCACATTACTGGTAGTCTGGATGGAGTGATTGTCGAAAGTCATTGTTAATGATAAGTTTTAAATAAATGTCATATTTATCGTATCGACGATAAGTTCACTAGTAGTCGAAAAATTCTCTGACCATACGCGTCTGTATGAGGTCGTATTGTATACAATAAAAAAGAATCTATGACGACAGCTCGTTATATGAATGTGACGAAAGTTCATATGCACAATACACTTATGCTCAAAGTAAGTTTCCTACATTGCGAACGAAATTCAAGTCGTGCAATTCAAAAAATTCTTTTTAGATTCATCATTTCACTTCAGTGTGTTTACGAAGATGTTGAAGTCAATGGAAGTCACCAACGTATCTGCTGTAAGAATGAAAAAATTGAGTCTATTAATCGAACATCGTTTTGTTTCATTTAGCCATAATAGTCATTCTGAATGTTCTATTGCAACGGTGACATTCATTTTGCTTATTCAATCAAAACGACTAACGATCAACCAATATGATTGAAGTAGAAGTTACAATTCAGCAATATTGACCCTTGCCGAAAGATAGAGTGCACTTTTGTGAATAAAAAAACTACATTTTATTTTATTGCTCAATACTTACTTAACGAAAAATATGGGTGAAACTAACGTATGGATCGATTAGCAATATTTCATAGGTTGTCATGCTGTAAGAAAAGTGCATTCAGCGGCGGAAGAAAACAGATATTCACCTATTATCTCACATTATTTTGAAGCACAGGAGTGGACGTTTCTTTTCATTTATAAAAAATTTCTTCAGATTGCTTCTGTTATGAGGAAAGATGTTTCAAAGTGATATTTCGAAATTATCAAACTTTTATACAAATATAATATGAATAATCTTGAAAGCAATCACCGCTGAAATGATGGAGTATCAGCCTATGTCAATCAAACATGCTGCTTAGGTAGTGCTCATAAAAGACGTTTACAAATGACGTATCTATCTGCACACGCTATTGGCAACATGGATAGAGTCGCAGTTAATGATAAATACTTCTCATTCTTCTTCACTTATACGACAAGTTAGTTTCGAAATAAGCTTTATAACCATTGTATTAACGTGTTCATTTTTTTTATAAGAGAATGTTTTTTCTTTCTTTCTCTTTGCATACTCACATCTGATTATAAAACAGGATCAGCACAGAGATGAAATGACTTTATAACGACAGCCTGTCCTATATGAATTGATATACGAACAATCTTTTTATCGTCAGCGTGAGTTTCTTATATCTTAGACGATACTCAAATTACTCCATTTGGGATATTTTTTTAGGCTGTTTGTCTGATCTCCTTCATGCGTGCAAAAAAATGTTGATAATGCTCAAATAATGAATATCAGCTGTATGTGTTTGACGTAAGAATGGAAAATTAGTGCTTCTTAAATAAATCTCGTTTTGTTTCATACAGTCGCAACAGTGATTCTGTTAGAGTCGTTGCGGGAAGCAATAGAAATCCTACATTTTCAAAATTATTTATATAACATACTCTTTACCTCATATAAATGTGACCGTATGAATAGATCAACAAATCAAATTATTTTGGTGGTCGTTTCCTGATATGGACTCGAAATTATGAAATAAAAATGTTTATGTTTACTTTGCAAGTTGAAAAACCACCAAACAGAAAATTTAACACATCGGATTCTTCTTCGGTTCACCCAATCCAAAACATTTTCGAATTCGCTTGTAGCTTTCAACGCGTTTCTTTTGCTTAGCAGCTCCTGATCCACCATTACATTCTAGTTTTCCATTGATAATTCGAGTAGTGGCTGCGAAATCACCTTGTTTAGCAGGGACATCCATTTTGTTTGTCTTGTAAAACCAAATGGCTGTTTTGACAGCGAGATCCTGCTGTTTTTCAATGAGATCTGGATCACTCAATAAGTCGACACCAAGAGATCTACCAGCAGCATGATAGTTACAAGGCCATGACAACTGAAACCAACCTCGACCATAATACAATTTATTGGGTTTGCCCTTAATTGAGCACCACGATCCAGCATAGTTCGTACCGCAACCTGGTGCGCAATATTCTCGCACAGTTTTCAGTCCATCGGTTTCGTGAAAGACATGCGCAAGAAACACGGCTGCTTCATCGTTATTCGATGCTTTCCAGCCCGATTTCCTCAGACCATCGAAACGGCTTGTTCTTACGGTGGCACTGATAGTATTGAATACACACGCAAATTTTTGTTCAGTGATGATCTCTTGTCCGCAGCTATAACCAATACCACATGCGATGAAAGCCAACAAGCAGGCGAGTGTCAGTGGCATCGTTGTGATAGTTTAGATGCATATAATAAAGCAATCAATAACAGCGAAGGCATATTTATAGGGACGGAATTTTCATTCTTTTCTCTCCATTCGCGAAAATATCAGGCCTAGTCAGAAACCATCTATAGAACCCACACAATAACATCGGTGTCATATATCATGCCATCGAAATATCGATCTGTAGGAGTGTCATATCGTAGGATTATTTTTAGCAGCGGCACATTTTATTTCACAGCAGCTTAAGTATTGGGTTGGTAAGAAAATTTTGCGTTTTTTCTCAGATTTTCATTTTATTTTTTTTTCTTTATCAATAAGAATTAGTTTTCATCTATGTATGCACCATCTGTTTCTATAGCTTGACGCCAACGGTCTCGAAGACAAAAGATCTCCTGCTCATAGAAGTCCGGGGACTTCCGATCGAAAAAAGTTGCGAGAGCGGATTTTAGGTAGCTCAAGTAGTTGGACAGAGAGCGAAACAAATGATGGTTAGTGGGAGCCAAGTCCGGCGAATAAGGTGTGTGGGATATGGTGATCCAACCGAGCTGCAATAATCTTTCACGAGTCAACTTTGCCACATGTGGTCTCGCATTGTCGTGCAGGAAGTAAATTTGATCTTGTTTTCGTTTGAGTTTTTGGACAATACGATCCAGTTGTTCCCAATAGAGATCAGCTGTGATTGTGTAACCATTGGGAAGAAGTTCCCAATGGATGATTCCTCGCATGCCCCACCAGACACTCAACATCACTTTTTTCGGATGCATATCCATTCTAAGTGTTGCCACTCCATTGACAAGATTGTGCAGGCATTGATGATTACAATGAGATGCGATTAAATCCATACCCCATATTTCCAGTTCTTGCCAAGATCAGCCAACTGTTTTTCTACCGTGATATGGGAGCACCCGAGCAGCGCTGCTAAAACACGTGTCGTCAGTCGCGGATCTTGTTCGATCTGCTGCTTCAAAAGATCGATATCGACTTCGATGGGCCTTCCACACCTGGATTGATCATCAAGTTCGTAATTCTCATTACGAAATCGATCAAACCAATGTTGTGCCGTGCGGATGGTCAGGACACCGAGATCCATCGTACTACATATATTATTCGCTGCTTCAGTTGCTTTGTGTCTCAATATCTTGGGATTATTTTTATCGATGCGAAAATAGTTGAAATACATCACACGTTGGTTTACATGTAATTAGCTATTTAACAAGGTAAATCCTCGTTTCGCCGAAAAGTAATGGAAAGATACGATAACGATCAAAGTACAATAGAGAGTGGATGAAGGTGTTTTCAACGAAACGAGAACTATCTCACGTATGATATTTAAAGAAAAACGAAGTGTAAATAAAATACAATTAATTTTTTTAATAGTTTGATCAAATAAATACGTATATTGACCTATTTTGCTCCATATATATGGAAGTTAAATAAGTCAAATTACTATTTTAGACCTTGTAACATAATCCTCTTATTTATAAACGTATATTTTAATTAAACTGTCATTATTGAAGGGCAAAATATGTTTCTGTGACAATCCCTCTGACGTGCGTTGTACGCGTGATACGATTTTCCTCATCTAATGGATTTATCCGTATTATGTCCTTATCTCAATCCATTTTGATCTACTTCGATATGATATATTCGTGCGTTTTCTTCACTGTGGACGAGTATATAAACGCGTGTCTTGTATCAGAACGATGCGATTGATGAGGAAGAAATAAATAAGCGTAGTTCCATCAGCGCATACATCTCTTCCATCAAAATTCGTCACAGTTTTGTAATACAAATTTAGAGTGACGTCTTCATCTTTACTAAAAGATAAGAAATAAATCAAATGTTCATCTGTATGCGATTGTGTTACTTATTGATCTTTTTCAAAATTTATTACATTGTCAAAAACAAAAAAAATTTACGACAATACTAAGAAAAGTAATATTCTATCGATGAGTCACTGTTTAAATGTCTTGTATGCGATTCATCATCATTTGATGTGGTGCAACAGCAGATCTTTTACGCCAAAAATAAAATGCATTTTTTATTTTTGTTCGTAAATCAGGTAATGATCCAACACAGACAAATGGAGTAAATAATATTATTCCATCGTCAAAAAATAAACTATCAAAATAATAATCCCTTGCTATAGACCTTGATAGGCCAAACGAATAAAGAGTGTATAATGTTAGTGGAGGAAGATGTAAAAAAAGATATAGAGCAGATGTTGATAATGTTTGATTTGCTAATCGTTTGTAATTTCTCCAATCAATTCTTTGACGAAGGATAAATCTTTGATAGAGTACACGTATAAGTAATACTATATTGAATATTATAATAATATATGCTGGAATTGTATTATGTAAAATACTATCTCAAAGAGCTAACCATGGTGTATCGATAAAGAAATAGTCGATTACAAGGATGAACTAAAAACGCAAATATATAAAATTAAAGGAAAATAATGATCAAAAAAAAGTTTTTTGCTTGTTGCAAAACAATGTGGATAAAAAATAAAAATATGTCGTTCAATTGATGCCCAAGCCATCAACCAATAAATCGATACTAGAAGACTTGAACTAATAATAATCCAAAAGAGACAAAATGCCGGAGTTCGTATTAGAACAATTCCTGTACGATAGAATTGAACATGCAGTGCAATATCAGTCAATTCTTCCATAAGACCAAAGAATAATAAACAAATAATGACATGATTATTTAGAGCATGACGAAGTGCACGATCTTTTAATAGATGATATAGATTAAAAATACTGATTAGAATCGACGGAATAAGTGGAACTAATAGAAGCCACGATTGAGTATAGGTTGATAATAACATTTGATAGAGTTTTTGTTTTCCTTTCGAAATGAATGTATTAAGTAAAAAGGTATTTAGATAAACTATCAAAATATATTCGTGACTAAGATTAAATCTTCTTTTAACTTCTTATCTGTCAGATAAACTAAGATCAAAAGATAGAAGGAAGAACAATGTTGTTTTTTTGTTAAAATTTCACTAAACGTAGTTGATATGAGAAAAGAGAAAAGAAGTATATAACCAAAGGTTTTAATAAAAAACAGACTTTATTCTGTTATTGCTTTAAAGATCTGCAAAATAACAGTAGTTATAAACAAATTGCATTACCATTTTATTAATATTTTTACACGACTAAAATTCAAATTTAATATGCACAGTTTGGGAGGGTACTAAAATTCTGACCTTTTCTTTCTTATTCGTCTATTTTTATATAATTAATAACAAGAGTATGTGAAAAACTATGACGACACATCATCTTAATTGAGTTGAGAATGTCTACGTAGAAAGAAAATGAGTATAATAAGTGTTACATTCTATGTTCACCACTCAATTTTAATAAACAGTTTTATTTATAAAGATCCTTGCGTAGCAAGTTCTTTCATACAACCTAGAATTAATCGTATGTAGCCATCTTATATTGTCGAAGTCAAAGCAATATAACATAAAAAAATCTTCGATTTGATGTTTTATAGCGTTTTCTGGGAAATCCATTTTTGGCACACAAATAGACAGCAGTGTGCAGATTTCCAAAGAAAGAAATTTCCGAAAATTCTATATTATATAATTCATTATGAACGATAGATACGAGAGAAAGGTAGGTCGAGAAGAAAAGGTAAATCAAGAAATTTCGAGGTATTTTCGATCATTTCAGTCATTTGAGGGGTGAGGGCGAGGATAAGTGACAAGTCCCTCTATCCAAACTCTGACCCTCATTCCTCAAATTATTAAAACTACGGAAAATATCTCAAAATTTCTTGATTTTCCTTCGTCTCGTCATCCTGCCCTTCGCTCTTGTCTTTTATTCATGATGAATTATATGTTATAAAATTTTCGTAAATTGCGGAAATTGCTTTTTTTGGAAATCTGAACATACCTCACACATTGGTTACAAAGTCTTGCAGATCAAACCCAGCAAATCTCAGGTTACCGAGATGCAACGACTAGACAAACTCTACATAGAAACACAGATGCACAGATGAAACTCTCTTTCTATTCGTTGATTGTTCGTAGTAAAAGTGCAAGTTTTCTTTTCAATTTTGCTGTGAAATACTGTTTTTTGTTTCATTTTTCTTATTTGTACTCGTTTATATTTAATATTTACTTGTTTAAAGGTCAGTTAAAGCTAATAGAGTTTATTTTTCTTCTTTCATGTAGTCGTTCATTATACCCTCAGCGTTTCTTCTTTAATTGTTGAAAAACAAATAGATAAACTTCAGATTGAAAAGTATTTTCTCTTATTCAAAACAAAGATCCCTAGTAAAACTTTAAAAAAGCAATAATCAATTCAACACACATTGATCTTTTCAGTCGAGCGTAATGCGAGTCACTCTCGACGAGCGTTATTTATTATTATTAGCGAAATATACTCAATTGGTTGTCGAATTACTTTTCGCTTGAAAAAATTCGATCTCCAAAGGCTTGAATAAAGATGACAGAGGGAATCGGCACAGGGAATTAGTTCACATGAATAATATCATTACAAAACAACAGAAACACCACTTTATTTTTGTTACGTTCGAACAGGAGGCTCATGAATTTTTCCACCAAGCGATGAAACTTGATTGCGTCTTTTGGGTATAATATTGCACAATATAACGCTCATTTGTTTGCGAAACGGCTTGGAGAAGCAAAAGAAAATATAAAAACTACAACGAGAAATCGGAAGATCATTCATGACGAAAACACTTTAGAAAGATGACTCACTTACCTGCCAGAAGCATACAAATAGAATATACATGTGAATAGATTACTCGTCAATTGTTCAGCGGATTTAAGTTCTGTGCTTTTTGCTTGAGATGCAGTAAAAGTCGTATAAAGGCTAAAAATTCCGGAGGGACTCATAGTAACAATGAGCAACAGGATTTGGGCTCGAATTATCTTAAACAATAGCAAAGAAACAAAATATAGAAAGGATTAAAAATAGTTAAATATTAATTACTATTGTTAATTGTCGTTGGATCTGTTGTTTTAAAGCATTTTGCTGGACTAATGTTGTTTCGTTGACTAATGCTATATTTCTGTGTGTCAAATAACCAAAGACTACTAAGATGGAAACAGGCATTATACAACTTGATATATTGTATGCCATCCATGAACTATATTGATTGAAAATAGGATCGATCGAATTGCAAACAGTGGCATTTGCAGGCAATGATTGTCGAATATTATAAAAAATTGTGTACGGTATACCATGACACATCCAAAAAATTGTCGTAAAAAACATAGTCCATTTAGTGAATCGCAAAGTCATTTTCTGACGATAATTAGTATTGCGCGAGGTAATGAAAAATTGAGTTATGGCAGCAGAACAAGTGAAATTTATTGAAATTAATGGTGCCGAATAAACGAAATAAGCACGAAACTTACAAAGCACATTTGATCTAACTGTTAGATCTATGCCAAAGCCATTAGTGAAGATTTTTGATAGTAAACCAATCATCAAACAGAATGAATCTGTTACGGCTATTCCAATAAAATAGAGAGAACAGGAGCTTTTAGTAAATGACGTCTTGACGTTGGTAAAGATTGCTATATTCAATACGTTACCAATTAAACCCAAAATAAGAGTAAATACACCGAAGTAGATATTCAAGTTTTGCATCACACTTTGCCACAGTGCAATATCCATTATATGTCAAGTCGTGTCTTTCCGAATAATGCTCTTGAGAAGTAGAGATGAGTGATGATTTTTTTTCTAAAAACTAAAAGAAATCGTCTTTTCATCCATAAATTAATGCGAGAAAATGGAAGTGATAATGCATATCATAAATAGTATGACGTATTTGCATGTTTTGCGATGAAAAATATTGCAAGAGTAAAGAAAGAAGTGACATCAGTCTAATTAATTGCGATTTTGAAAATTTTCTTTCAAAGCTTCTGACGGAAGTAGAGAACATTCGAGAAAAAAGTGAAACAAAAGATTATTTTAATAAACAAATTAACACTAAAAACTGAAAAATATCGACTTTGAAAGAAAAGAAAAAGTTTGTTGGTTTATGTCAGATTAACATTCAGATAGTCAGATATGTATAACTTAGGGATGATGGCTCAGTATCAGCTAAAAAAGTCTTAACTTTAAAAGAACCTCCCTTACAAATATTTCTGAAGACGGAGCAATCTTCACATATATTACTGATAACATCACAATTGACTGAATTGATTCTTATATAACCAAAGATTAATTGTGTATTACGCTGAGGGATAAACTCATTTTCATCAACTGATAAATGATACATAGGGTAGTCAATAAGTTCTCGGAATTTTCTATATCACTTCCGAATAATTGTAATTCCCCCGTTTTTTTGCATTATGTATTCGAGTTAGTTGGTGTGAGATTAAATAGAAAGTTTCATCATTCTAGCTGATTCTCTTGATATCCTAGTGAGATAAATGTTGAGTAAAAATATGGCTCCTTGGTTATTGACATTTGACAAAAGATACAGCTGGCTATTCGCTAGTCTCTCTTTTACTCGTTTTACGACCTAGTATACTGAGTGCTTAGTCTAAGGTGAATATACTGCATTAGNTTATATTTAATATTTACTTGTTTAAAGGTCAGTTAAAGCTAATAGAGTTTATTTTTCTTCTTTCATGTAGTCGTTCATTATACCCTCAGCGTTTCTTCTTTAATTGTTGAAAAACAAATAGATAAACTTCAGATTGAAAAGTATTTTCTCTTATTCAAAACAAAGATCCCTAGTAAAACTTTAAAAAAGCAATAATCAATTCAACACACATTTATCTTTTCAGTCGAACGTAATGCGAGTCACTCTCGACGAGCGTTATTTATTATTATTAGCGAAATATACTAAATTGGTTGTCGAATTACTTTTCGCTTGAAAAAATTCGATCTCCAAAGGCTTGAATAAAGATGACAGAGGGAATCGGCACAGGGAATTAGTTCCATATGAATAATATGATTACAAAACAACAGAAACATCACTTTATTTTTGTTACGTTCGAACAGGAGGCTCATGAATATTTCCACCAAGCGATGAAACCTGATTGCGTCTTTTGGGTATAATATTGCACAATGTAAAACTCATTTGTTTGCGAAACGGCTTGGAGAAGCAAAAGAAAATATAAAAACTACAACGAGAAATCGGAAGATCATTCACGACGAAAACACTTTAGAAAGACGACTCACTTACCTGCCAGAAGCATACAAATAGAATATACATGTGAATAGATTACTCGTCAATTGTTCAGCGGATTTAAGCTCTGTGCTTTTTGCTTGAGATGCAGTAAAAGTCGTATAAAGGCTAAAAATTCCGGAGGGACTCATAGTAACAATGAGTAACAGGATTTGAGCTCGAATTATCTTAAACAATAGCAAAGAAACAAAATATAGAAAGGATTAAAAATAGTTAAATATTAATTACTATAGTTAATTGTCTTTGGATCTGTTGTTTTAAAGCATTTTGCTGAACGGATGTTGTTTCGTTGACTGATGCCATATTTCTGTGTGTCAAATAACCAAAGACTACTAAGATGGAAACAGGCATTATAAAACTTGATATATTGTATATCATCCATGAACTGTATTGATTGAAAATAGGATCGATCGAATTGCAAACAGTGGCATTTGCAGGCAGTGATTGTCGAATATCATAAAAAATTGTGTACGGTATACCATGACACATCCAAAAAATTGTTGTAAAAAAGATAGCCCATTTAGTGAATCGCAAAGTCATTTTCTGACGATAATTAATGTTGCGCGAGGTAATGAAAAATTGAGTTATGGTCGCAAAACAAGTGGAAGTTATTGAAATTAATGGTGCCGAATAAACGAAATAAGCACGAAACTTACAAAATACATTAGATCTAACTGTTAGATCTATACCAAAGCCATTAGTGAGGAGTTTTGATAGTAAACCAATCATCAAACAGAATGAATCTGTTACGGCTATTCCAATAAAGTAGAGAGAACAGGAGCTTTTAGTAAATGACGTCTTGACGTTGGTAAAGATTGCTATATTGAATACGTTACCAATTAAACCCAAAATGAGAGTAAATATACCGAAGTAGATATTGAAGTTTCGCATAATATTTTGCCACAGTGCAATATCCGTTATATGTCAAGTCGTGTCTTTCCGAATAATGCTATAGAGAAGTAGAGATGAGTTATGATCGCTTCTCTAAAAACTAAAAGAAATCGTCGTTTCATCCATAGGTTAATGCGAGAAAATGGAAGTGACAATGCATACCATAAATAGTATGACGTATTCGCATGTTTTGCGATGAAAAATATTGAAAGAACAAAGAAAAGGGTCACATCAGTCTAATTAATTGCGATTTTGAAAATTTCTTTCAAAGCTTCTGACGGAAGTAGAGAACATTCGAGAAAAAGTGAAACAAAAGATTATTTTAATAAACAGCTCAAAACTAAAAACTGAAAAATATCGACTTTGAAAGAAAAGAAAAAGTTTGTTGGTTTGTGTCATATTAACATTCAGATAGTCAGATATGTATAAGCTAGGGATGATGGCTCAGTATCAGCTAAAAAAGTCTTAACTTTAAAAGAATCTCCCTTACAAATATTGCTGGAAACGGAGCAATCTTCACATATATTACTGATAACTTTACAATAGACTGAATTGATTCTTATATAACTAAAGATTAATTGTGTATTATGCCGAGGGATTAAACTCATTTTCATCAAATGATAAGTAATAAAAGATGTTTAGTTTTGATTATTGATGAATTTGATACACTCTCATTAAAAATACTTTCAACTATATAATTACTCAGAATAATTTCTTTTTTGCTGTTAATCTCGTGAATATTATAATTGGAAAATGTGAACACGCCTAAATAATTTTCATCTGCCCGCCAGTGGAACTACACATTTTCACAAACCATGTAGCTTTTAATATATAAATCAGTGAATTAACCGAAAAACTCAAGCGTACTGAGTGAAGGAGAACTACTTAACAGTTTCAAATCACCGCTCTAAACCATTTTAAATATATGTTCAAGGTCTACACGCAAACCTAGTTACAGAATAATAAAATATATAATAGTTCAACCTTATAATTCCCAAAAAGGTTTGATATTGAAGTCTTTTGTGCGATAATCTCGTTGGCAAGCACTGAGAAAAAGAAGAGAAAAAGAAATCTTTTATATAAACTTTCACATACTTCAAAGTTGTGTCGTGTGATATTCTTTAACCCTTTTGAGACGATGGAACTCACCTGTGGATCTCACTATATTTCAAGAAGTAATGTCAAGAAAAACGTTTTCTTTTCCTTTTCCCCTCTACTGATTTCTTAGAGAGGAGGCTACAGGTAATGTATCATCTATACTATGTCCATTGTTTTTCGAATCATTTATTGCATGCTATGATGCTTTTTGTTGAAACAATCAAGACAAAGAAAATTTTCGCAATCAGAACAGAAAGTTTCTATTTTTTTACTGTTGCTAAACTGGCTTGTCTTGATTATCGCACTCTGCTTTTTCATAGCAACCAGCACAGCGTCTTCGGACTTTGCGGGCAGATGCAGATCCTTCCATTTCATCTAACTTATGATCACCGAGTTTACGCTTCAAATTACTTGTCGATTGTTGCTTTGGTCCAGACTTCAGCTTTTCGAATGATGTATCAAGAAGTAAAGATCGCACAAGTCTTTCACAAAACCGTGGCATTATCATATGGCCTGTGTCATACGTTTCCTTGTAAATCAAATAGGCATTTAATATTGATGTTCCAAATATCAGCTCACATGTCACTTTTTGATACAATTTTATAGATCATCTGAGGCATGTATAATACTAGAGGGAGCACCCGCTGGAAATAAGAAATATCTATGTCGAACATCCCACGTGTTGAAGAGCTATAACAGATAGAAAATCAGTATAATTCAAATTTCTACGCTTCCACTCCTTATTTTCCTGTCGTGCATCGCACAAAACGGCAGTTTTGGCTATATCTTTCTATGCAAAAGAGTTACCGAAGCTAATTTTTGCCTCATTGATTATGAAACTTTCCTCTGTCTCACTCTCACGTCATTTCATACCTTATATCCTTCGAATTCACCCTCACCCACCCTTCTATGTACTGTAAAATCGCCAAGTTTTCTGCATTTATATGATTTTTATGAATACTGTTTAAAAGTATTACATTCTAGTGAAATACAAAAATTCAATCGTTTTTCTATTTCGAACAATAAAGTTTCCAGAGTGATTCATGTTCTATAAATATTTGTTCTGATTTATCCTCATAGAAAAAAGCCTAAAGATGATGAATCAGGTGCGCATGGAACCCAGGAAATGAGTTCACCACTCGCAACCCATCGGTCATCAAAACTATCGTCCAACCATGAACGAACTGATTTCGCGAAATGAGCTAGTGCTCCATCTTGTCGAAAAATGCTTATTATAGTCAATTTTTTCTTCTGTAAAATTGATAGAGGAAGTTTTGCTGAATGCCAAGCTGATTGCGTTGATCAGCCGTCAATTACTCGAAAAGTAAGTGTAAACACCTTTTTCAACAGTTTTCTTCATGTATGACTTGCTAATGTGAGGTTGTCATACGTCTTGAAACACTAGAGATTTACAATGCATTCTACTTTACGATATTTAAATTGCAGAATCAAAACAAGAACTTGCTGCTGTTCTCACATTCTCCCCTGGAGGATAATATTTAGTTTTCGATGTGATTGACTTTCCTTTTATTTACAAGTAATGCGGAACGAATGATTTCTTTTTCAAGTAGTATATAAATAACATGCAATTATTATTTCTTTTACATTCTGTTTCAATGAGTACAGATTCAAACGTCCCATGCTGTTCAGTACAAACTGATAATATTGCAAGGTAAATTTCTTTTTTTCAATGAAGTTTTCATTGAAGTTTTCTTGTATTTTCAGTGTAAAACATCGATCTCGACTAACTCGATTTATTCGATATTTTTCTGATGATATTGGCACAAAGCATGTTGATTTACAATTAATTATTCTTAGTTTTAGTACTGGAATTATTGATGTCGTATCGTCGAATGATTTCTCGGTTTTTATTTCGATTCAAACAGGAAATACAGTTACACTTGGAATTCATACATCAACAGGTTCGTCAGCTTCTTATCTTTCAATTTGTGCGAGTTTATTTACTTTTCTTTTCGCTGGTTTTCTAAGTGGACAAATTGGAAATCTGATAGGTCACCAACGTCGTTGGTGGATACTTTTTAATATGTTTTTTCAAACAATACTTATCTTTATTGTTGTTGGATTAGTCTCGGAAAACGTAATTAAAAAAGATGAAGATCAAAAAAATATTTGAATTGTTTTATTGGCAATTTCTTATGGATGTCAAATGACCATTGCAAAAAATGTAGAAGTACCTGAAATAACTACAGCAGTATTAACTTCAACATATATTGAATTGTTAATTGATCCAAAATTATTTCAATGGAAGAACAAAGCACGTAATCGGCGTTTAGCGTATATTATCGTTTTTATCGTTGGTATCATTAGTGGAAGTTATATGCATGCAAAACTGGGTACTGCAAATACGTTAACACTTGCCGCTTGTGTGAAAGCTATTGTAACAATTTCATTTTTTTTCAATTCAAAAGCTCATGCAAAATCTTCATCAACCTAATGACTTTTTCTTCTTAATTTGTAAATAAAACATCTCCATGTTAACTCTTCTGTGGCGATTCGGTTATTCGAGAAAAATGAGTTCAATATTTATCCTTCCTTCCTTTATATGCACAGGAGGTTCGATTCCTTAGATTTTCAGGACACTAACAATTACAACTTTTTCAACAATGTATCTCCCGATTAATCAACATACAATCTTCAGAAATTACCGATATCGAAGAAGATAAATATCAAAATAGACATGACGATTATTTACACCATGTATAAAACATTAGTTTAGTCCTAAACCAAGCTTTAGCCGTACCATATCTACATACACTATCAATCGATCTCACAGCAGATGATGTATTCAAAACGATTACCACTTCGTCTGTTGGACGTAGCGCAACATTATATTCTCTATTCAATCTTTGAAATTCTCTATGGTAATGTTAGTGTCTTTAAGTATAAAGGGTCACGATTTTGTTTTTGTCGTTGATATAGATTCTGATTATACAATTATTAGCTTAAATAATTAATCAGAGCTGAGTTCACCAAGAATTCGTTCAAGTTCGCTGCAACTTGAATGTTACAGTAAAAAACGCAAAGCTTTAATCTTACCATGATGGTAATCTAATGAACTGGATCACAAGGTCAATAGATTATCTATGAGATAACTATAATATAACCTGTCCGCTTATTGATGAGATATGTTAGCCATCTTTATCTGTACTGTGATCTTAGATTAGATTAGCCTACCTAAAGAGTCATGCATGTGTTATAATGTGTTTGAACAGTGCTATATAAGAATCGGACGTTTGTTTTAAGATTAAGATGTGAATTGATCTATTCCGAATGATCAGTCTTGTTCAATAATCTTCAGTATTGATTGATAAAAGGTAAATTTGTCCATCGGTGATATAAAAAACAATCTAGTAGAGTTTCGTCATATCTACAAAATATGAGAAGTAAATTGCCGCTGTATAGGTGTTTTGTTGTTTGTCTGTAACGTTATATGTTATCTTCTTTATACATTGACAATTGTTATAGTATTAAGTGAATTTCAGTTTCTCGAGGGTGAACTGTTAAAATGATCAAGATTAATTTACAGAGAGATAAAAGAATCACAATTGCATGTTATAAACTTTGAATAAAACAAAACTCATAAAATGAATATTGTATATATATACTTTATAACTAATCGCTCTAAGATGATTACCTTTTGAAAAGAAAAAAATACCCTCTCACCCTCACCCTCAAGATTTGGGTCAGTCCCGATGATGTTCACATTAGAGAGGTTTTACTGAATTTGAATTCTTTTGCTACACTTCCAATTCTTAAAACAAAAAAAATGTACTTTCTTGTAGAAATGACCTTTACAATTTGTTTTAGATATGACATATATTCAATATTCTCAAGTACATAAACTTTTTTTCATATTCAAACGTTTCAAAGATGATACACTTTATGTAATATGCTAATTGTCACAAATAATAAAAGCATTATTGAATAATAAAATGTCACTAAAAAGGTCTTATACGTACATAATGATACTCAGAAGAAAAATCTTATCAGTAAGTACAATCCATTTACTTCAAATATACGTCATAGAAATGTATTGCGCATACCATATGTGAAGTGTTTAATTCGTATATTTTTTTCACTTATATGCATCTATATAAACAAAAGAATTTTCTTACTTCTAGTTGAAAAATAATAAACGCAGTTTAATTATGATGAGAATGTTATTAAATAATATCCAATATGATCTCTTTTCTAGATATTCTTGTACTATTAGACAGCATGTTTTACCTACATTATAATTATTGGCCTTCTTATATTAATCTTTGTCAATGGTTGCTTTTTCTTTCAAATTGGAAATTGGTTCATTTACAAAATACTTTTACGGCTACAATCATTCTTGAACAGCCAGGTACTCAATTTATTCCTATTAGTATGTCAATTCAATTACTTTCAGTTAATCTTGTTGAATCAATCATGAAATGTAGTATGTTATGTACTGATAATTTTCTATGCGGTGTTTATGATTATGAAGTATCTGTAACAAAGCAATGTCGACTTTTTGAAGGTAATGCAAATACTATGGGTTATATTGCACCGTCATCGTATATTCAATCAAATGTTGGTATTGTTCAATTGACATCAGATCTTTTTGAAGAATATGGACAAAGCTGTGTATCTTCTTGTTATCGAAGTCGATATCTTCGATGTAACAATAATTCTAAATGTGATTGTATGCCACACAGTTACTGGAATTCATCAATATTAATGTGCGTTCCACAAATGTTAAAACGTGGTTCGTCTTGTCAACAGAATATGAATATGTGTCGAGAAGATCTTAATTACACATGTTTACAATTTAATCAATGTGGTCGTAAGTTATATAATAGTTGTTTTTTATTTTCTTTGTTATGAGATGAGTTAAGAATTCAAAACAAAACGAAAATTGTCTCACATCTTTCGATGAATAGATATCGTCGTAAATAATAGAGAAAAGCTTTCCATCGCATTGACAGAAAAGAATAAAAATACGAATTTACATGTGTCTCAGCTATCCTTTAACTTAATAAATTGTTTTATAGAAAAATTAAATATAATTATATTTTGTTTTAGCAATATCAATACTCTCTGGTACAACAATAATCGACAATAATACAGTAATTAATGGAAGTTCAACTATTGGTCTCAATACACCTGTTGGAATCAGTGTATTTTCGACAAATGTTGATTCATTAGTTATCGCAGATTCCAATAATAATCGTATCATTGGTGTATGGGATGCTAATGAAATGGGTCAAAATATTTCAGTAATAGCCACTGAATGGTCATCTGGACATTCATTATGTAATCCTTTTGATGTTTACATCGACAATAGTAATACATATAATCTATATGTAAGTGATTTTTGTAATTCTCAAGTCGTACGATATACAAATATGCAAACTATCAATCCGCCTCCACTTGTTGTAGCAGGTTATCAGCAAAGTACTGGAACAGGGCTTCGATATTTAAATGGACCATTTGGAATAGCTGCCGATAGCCATAATAATGTCATAGTGGCTTCTTTAACAGATAGCCGAGTCCTATTTTGGCGACCGAATGCTACAAATGGTACAATAATGGTTGATTCTGACACGATTGGTAATAGTTTGATGACTAACGAAGGACCATGTGGTATTGCATTTGATGAACAGAACTCGTTATTATATGTTGCTGACACCTTCAATCACAGAATTCAACGTTATTCAATAAATAATAGTTGGCCTTGTAATGGAACAACAGTGGCTGGTGGAAATGGACCAGGTAGCGGAAGTGATCAGTTATATCTTCCTAATGATGTATGGGTATCAAAGAAGACAGGAACTCTGTATATAGCAGACTCGGTTAATAATAGAATTCAACGATGGGAAAAAGGAGCAAGCGAAGGTGTTACAATTGCGGGAGATCCCTATGGTAATGGAGGTACTAGTTCTACTTTGTTCGATGTTCCAGTTAGTATAACTATCAATGCGAACGAAACATATATGTATGTCACCGATATGTACAACAATCGTATACAAAGATTTGAGCTTATCTAAACTAATGACAATATATACATGAGCTAATTACAAAGTTATTGTACCGTCATATTTTTCAACATAAAATTTCAATGTCTCTAGTTCTATTCAGTCAATCTGTATGTTTTTTTTATCATATATACTACATAAGGACTCCTCACTATCATTAAAAAAATCACATGGTTTCCATGAATCAGTCTCGAGTTATAGATCATACAAGGTCTAGAAGTAGGCATGCACCAAATCCACTTCTAGATTTGGATTTGACTACATATGACCTGAGTTCAAGTTTTGAAATTAAATAATTGGCACCTACAGCTAGCTGGACGAAAGTATATGCTGCCTATTTGTGTTCGACCATTTATATTCTTTATAAGACGGATATAATTCATCTGTACTGACTAAATGCATTCGAGCTGTACGTAATGTGTACGAAAATCACTTAAAATAGTCTTTTGTATCATAAAATATCATAGTCAGACTACTGCCTTTCATCAAATTTAACTGATGTGATTCGTTTCTACACTCTATAATACAAATGACAGTGAGTTATCTATGAATCAATTATCATGATATCTGACAATTGCTGAAAATTATGTTTGGAATGGGATGGTATGGAAATATCTGTTTCCATACGCGAGTCGATGACAACAATTCGTTATTAATTTCAGTCTATATATTCTATTAGCTGTTTTGATTTAGATTACGAAGAGGATTGATTTTCATGAACTAACGAGGGAACCACCCGAGGTGTCAAAAAGCTTTATGGCTCGGAGTGTGATGGGTAGGTTGGACATACCTTGGTATGATTTATCCTGA